TATATATATATATATATATAAAATTTATTTTCCCTGTACCATAAATTTGCAAGGCCTGTAAAAAATTAGTCATCATTTACAACTGGTTGAGAACCACTGACATATTCTAGCTGTTAGCCTAGATGTTTTGTAGGGTTCTGTAATAATTTTCATTATTATGCCATTAAGCTAATGTGCTTTAATAATATTTATTGTGAGGGCTTGATAGACTGCCTTAGCTAATGATGTGAGTAGCTTTGTTTGCATCGCTGTTTGCTCCGTGCTTGCGGCTGCCATGCTGCTGCTACTGTCTGAAGCTGTCATCCTAAGCTGCCGCCATCAGATGCTCGCTCACTTCTGCACGGACGATGTGATGATTGCTCACCTCCTTGATACGTACCACACCATTCTTCTCCATTTACTTTCATGTCATATTTTATTTCTACAAACAAGTGTATAAAAGGTTCCTTGATCATTGACTGTTTCTGGGTGCTCTCTAACAAATTAAATGTTCAAAGTTATTTGTGTAATTTGCTTAGTCAGACACATTAAGTGGCCGCTATTAGGAAGGAAAACAATTTCAGAACATTTGTTTGCTTTTATGGTTAGATTATTCATTAATAACTTACTAGTAACCCCTGAGATAATTAGTACTTTAACTGAAGAACTTAGATAATTGGTTGTGTTTCAATGTTGTAGAAACATAAAGTTTTAAAGTGAAAAGTAATGTCAAAGTGAAAAGTGTTTAAAAATAAACATGACATGAAGACTTGTCCTAAGAACAGTGAAGTTGGTTGGAATGAACAAGGACAATTTGAGGCTTCATTGATATATTGCACCGGGAGCATGTGGAACGCAGTGTTTACTCAGCATGTTTCGCATGCTTAACTTTAAGTAAACTCAAAGGAGAACCACCAATCCAGGTTTGTACATGAACTATACTTCTGTTTATTTTATAATTGGAGAAAATTCGTCCACTGATAAAGGTTTACCATGTACATAATTCTGTTTGAATAATGATGTGTTTGCAAAACATTAAGTCACACAGGAATATAAAAATGAAATTCATGTTATGATGCAATTTGGGGTGGAGAGAATTTATCATTTGAAGAGAAATGTAATGTACATACTGTTGAATGGTATTGTTTGAAGTAAAAAGTGTTTTTTATATAAATTCCTTTGTGATTTTTATAGCATTTGACCCAGTGTGGGTATTTTGTGTTAATTTTTAAAGAAATATTAGCCAGGCATTGCAGATAGCATTTTATACTTTAGTATAAATCAAGTGTGTGGGCATTATTTAGGAATGAGATTGCATCTGAACACAAATTAACTGAAACATCTGCAAAGCCTGTGTAGTATTGCATGTTGATGCATGTATTTCCTGTCTCATTTATTCTAAGCCACAAAATTCGTAAACACTGTTTCTAGGGTGTGACCGAAACTACAGTGGTCGGAGTGATAGTGACCTGCCTTCACGTAGTACCATGCATTGTGCTGATCAGAAAATAAGGCTTCCTCATTCACTCTCACCTGACAAAGATGTGATGGGTGACTTTGGTGACAGTGATATTGAAAGTGTTGTAAGCATCACGAGCAGTGCCTTCTCCACCCAGTCAGAGCGTCCACTTGGGTCCATAGGGCTTAGGTGAGTGTGTGATTAACTAAATTATGAATGACAAACTTTAATTTTACTTTAGTTTCTGAATCTCTTAATATCACTATGATATATTAGATTGCAATCTTAACTGAAATAGTCACTCATAGTGCATAAATAAGGTACTACTTTGAAATGTATACTTACTTATTTAACATTAATATTCTTTAATGCACTGATGTTTGAAACTTTGTAAATGCAGAAACACGATTACTGCAAGCAGTAATAAAATTAATTATTGAAACTAATTTCAAGTATTTTTACAATGGTGTTAATGTGTTGTTTGGTAGTTTCCAAAAACTGACACACCTAGAACTGAAATGTATAATTTTCTCTATTTTACAGAGCAGAAAATATTGCTAGCTATTCTAATCCATATTACTGTATATCAGATTCACATACCTGTTTATCTGAATGTGTTCCTCCCTGTTCTACTTTAATTCCTATAAATTCAAACATGTCTTGCAGTTGTAGGTATCTCATGTCATGTAATTATAATGCTACCAGTCAGTGTAATTTGAATACTTTGTCATCTGCTTCATTAAACAATGTAATGAAATGTGATCCACTGACAAACAATAATGCTTGTACTGGATGTAGTGTTCCTAGACATCCACATTTGAAACAAAACCTTACCATGATAAATGTTATACCCAGTAATCAGAACTGTAGAAATTATAACCAAGAATGTGTTGACAGTGACCAGCATTTAACAAATAATAGACCTCAGACTTCAACACAAAATTTATGTCTACATTCAGTGGGAAAACCCAAAGATGATTCATTTGTTTCTGTTTCTGGTTGTGAATTCTGTGCTAACCTCAGAAGCTCAAATTTTTGTCGTGCTCATAATTTAAATGTAATTGGACCAACAGGTTCATTTTCAAGGCCATGTCCTCATTATAATGGCTGTGATTGTGAATACAGTGGCACTGAGACTGAGATGCATTGTTCTAACTCCAGTTTTTACACCCAAAGATCTGAGATTGCAGATGAAATACCAACTTGTGTAGGTGTGCAAATAAATACAGTGACAGATGCTAAATCACAAGAAAGCAATTTCAGAGTGACAAGATCTGAAAAGTTAAAACAAAGCATCTTTTGTGGCTCAAAAATAATTTCACTTAAAGAAGTACCTATAAAATATTTCTGTCCAGAAACTGAACATAGAAGATTAAAATTTATGAAAACTGAAGATGACAGTATTAATGCAGTTATTAGAGCGTCTCATTCTGTTGAAGTGTTAGGCTCTTACAACACAAATCAGGTTAGTAACACTAGGAACAACACTGTCTTTATTAAATCTTCAGAACCTTGTGGATTAAGTTCCTTAAAGGAAGATTTGGGTAAAAATTCAAATATTGATGATGATGATGATGATAACAGTGTCTCAGATAAAATAAATGCAGATAGTTTTTCAGATAAAGTTGTCAGTAGAAGTCCTACATCTGAAAGTATATCTTCAGTGTTCATGGAGGATGTACCTCACAAGCTAAATACTACTGTTAGAACAATGAAGTGTCTAACTAACAAATCATGTGATGTAGAAAATGATGAACAGGATGAAATTCCTGAAAGATCAGCTAGTAAGTGTGCTGTATTCAAAGATGAAGAAGTTCTTGGCTGTAACAGAAATGAAAATCTGTTGAACAATAAAAAAGAGCAAAGTGAAGTGAGTATTACTGTAGGAAACAATAACAGCGCAGATTTCTCTTGTGGGGCTAGAGAGTGTGACAGAGATAGTGCAATTGCAAGTCGAAGAAATTCAGAAATGACAGCACACAATAATTCTCTGTGTGCAACAAGCACCAGAAACTTATTAGGACATTCCGTAAGCCAGTCAGAGTTGATCAGTTTGGCTGGCAGCATTGTAGGTAATATTAACAGCAAAACAAGTTGTGATATAATTGATAAAAACCACATTTCTGCTCCTTTATATGATGCTTGCACTGTACGCCAAACTAATTTAGTTAGTTGTATGCCAGAGATTTATTCCAGTTGGATTTCTAGTGGCTACAAAACAGCTTCTGTATCAATCTGTAGTGAGAAATCCTGTAACAGTAGACTACCAGATGACAGTACTAGCAAGGATGCTTTATCCTGTTTGCCCTTAATCAGTGAAATGCTGGAAATTAGGTCACCTCTTGAAGGTAAAGCTGGTTATAGAAATTCTGATGAGGATAATAATACATATTTTATTGATTCTGAAAATTCCATAGATGATAATGTAGGTGACTTGGAGTTGTTTGATTATCGTAAGAACAATAAGAAAATTAGTAATGTGGGACATGAAAGTGTAATCATCAGCAATTGCAATAATGTTGGCAGTACTTTAGAGATTAATGTTAGCAAGGATAGAGGTTTCCCAGAACAACATAGCTATGTTGAGTTTGCATATTGCAAAAGCCCCATGATCCACAAACAACCAGTAGCTGATAGTCAAACAGAGACTGTTGATGCTAATTGCTATCCCTTGCTTATGTCCTATGCTGTTACCCCCTTGCAACCCATCATGACTGCCAATTTGGAATTGCAACACACCCATTCTGCACGGAATGGTCTGCTACCTTGCAATGAGTGTAGTGACTATGGTAGTAGCAGTGGAGGTGGAGGGGGACAGCACATGGCAATCCATCACAGTGGGGCACAAGGGGCCAACAGTAGTTCAGGGAGCAAGAGGAACATCTTCACCCGTAGTCTGTCAAATGCAGATGTTCCCCCAGATGAGAAAGCTGGTGAGTGTAAAAATGAACTAGTCAAGATGTAAAGAACTATTTTATGTGAAGGTAAATATATTGTAATATGCTCATTGGTAGGCATTCAGATTTTTTTCATTAAGTACCTTAATATCTTGATCTTATAGCTTGTTTTTGTACAAATTGACCTATACACATTCAGTCATAATAACAACCAACTTAAATATTTAATCCTTATTTACTAATTTTGTTTGTGCTTCGTTACTTAACTGAACATGTTTGTTCAAAGGCAGTGTTTATTTCAATGATTTTAGTGATACTAAATAATTCCATGAACAGAGGCCTTCATGAGAGCTAATAGTTGTTCAGTTTGTGAAAGAATGCTCCACCTTTTATAGGGCCCAGGGCTTCATTACTGTGTTTACATAAGATTAGCACTGGGTCCTATCCTGAGACAGATGAATGCATTCTTCACCTTTACACTCAGTTTCCTTAAGATAAGTCTTAATGTTATCCTCCCACCTATATCTAGGCCTTCCAAGTGGTCTCTTCTCTTCAGCTTTTCTGATCAAAATTGTGTATGTATTTCTTATTGCTTCCAGACATATCACGTGCTCTGCCCATGTTACTCTTAAAGAATACATGTGAATGATGCACTTCATTTAAAGATAAATTGTTGGAGGCAAAAGAAGGTTGAGAATACTTGCTGAAAATGGATATGAAATATGATATGGTGCTGTATCACTGCATATTCTCCAAAGGCTAGAAAATTTGAGCTATCTGAAATGTTAGCTGCATTGTACTTAAATGTCTTTTCCAATGTTAGTGCATGAATAATCATGAGTGTAAGACTGATGAGTGCTGAGCAGTGCTATGAAAATTATCAGCATTTGTCATGAGATTCAGAGATGATTGTAGTACAAGTTCTGTTATAATTTGCATACAGTACATTTGTTAATCCTGTCTGCTGATGCCAACTTGTACTCCATAATCAGATTTGCACTCTACAATCACATTCATTTCTGTATTATTGTCTTCTATGTGGTGACAGATGGCAGCCTGAGTGACACAGCTGTGGGACATCATCATGGGATGGATGGGTCGCGACAAAAGATGTCAGGGAGCGGTGAGAGGAGCAGGAAACCTACTGGAGGTGGTGGAAGTATTAGTGGCCCGTTCATAGGTTTGGGCAAGAAAAGTAGTTCTACTTCCCAGCTCTCGGCTACAGGTAAGAAAGAATTTCCTTCTTAATTTGTTTTGCTATATTGTAACTCCTTTCCTATTGGTCTGTTCAAGTAAAATATCCTTTTGGATGTATCATTAACATTTGTGATCCTTTTTTGAATGGTACAAGAAATGCTGACTCAACCTGGGTAAGCACGCTGGGCTGCAAGGAGTTAAACTAGTATTGTCATAGAAATTTGTCTATGTGTAAGTTATAAATTTTGAGTAATGGCTCAGTCTTAATCCTGCTGACAATTAACTATCCTGAAACGTATGTATGACTCAGTTTCCAGATCAGGTATATTTTCTTTTATTATTTTTTAATTATAGTAGATATAAGTTCTGGGATAAGACAATTTGGATGTGGATTGTATTTATTCCTGAAAAATATAAAGGTAAATTCACATGTAAGAGCACGAAAAATTAAATAAACCTTTGCCTCTGTTATATGTCATTTAAACATCTAAAAGAATCATCATAGTAAATTAATTTGCTAGATTCTTGTTTCTGATGTAATGAAGAGTTTTATTTTATTTTTATGTTGTGTACTTTATGCCTAATCCTTTTCAAGAGTTTTCACTGTACAGTATTTAAAATTCCATGTTTCATTTTAAGGTTCTTTTAATTATCTTAGTGCTAAAAATAATGTATCTTGTTTTGTAACTCTTTATTTTCTGATTTAAGTGTGTTTGTTACTATATAGTAGTTGAATCAAAATTCTGATTTGTCTGAGTAAATAATAAATTAAACCACACGTATTTGTGACTTTTTAACAATATAAAATGTGCGTTACTAAGAAAATACAGAAGCAAAAGGAGTTATTTACATTCTTCTATAAAAGCTGTGTATGAAAAGGATTAAGATATTAAAAGTAATTCTATCCAAATGGTTTTACTCCATACAGTTTATTTCCATGTATTTCATTTCATTTTTTAAAATTTACTTTACCTGGTCTCTGAACAGCATTACGGTTGAACTCTACAACACTGTGTGTTAATTTTTCATCACTTACCAAAAGATCTATGACTTAATTCTTTCAGCTGACAATAACTAGTATGAATAAAACATTATATATACAAAATGAACACATAGATTCAAGTTACTAATATTTATTATTATGTGGGTTAAAGTGTATTTATACATATTTATTTTTATTTTAGTAGATGTTGGTTGGTTTCACGTGATAGATAATTTTATCAAATTGTCTGTTAGAAGTAATTTACTGATTTTAATAATTAGTAAGTAATCAGGCCTTGAATTGCCCTTATTCTTCACTAGGAAGAAACCTAAGGACATGGTTTGTTTATGTTCTGTGTAATCAGTGCTTTCCAATAGAAAAAATAGTATATTTCACAGTACCATGCAGTATGAGCCAAAAAAGGTATGAGCTGAGTGTATTAATATGCACTCTCATAGCAGAAGGACTGTTTAATTTAAAATGAGTTTATAGTAAAAACTCAGTCTATATGAATGTGTATTGTGAATTATGTTATTATTTTTAAGAACTTGCCTTGAATATGGTTCTTTAAAAATATTACAAAATGTAATATTTGATTTCATCCAGTCACTTAAAATACCTGCATCACAAAGCCATTGACTTGAATTGTTATACCATTTGTGGGCAGCAGTCTGTAAATTTTCCAGTGAGAACTTTCCTTCTTTAGCAGTTTCTGTGTCAACTCCATAAACCAATATAAAGGAAGTACCATCTTATGAAGACACAGTGCTGACCTATTATGCTATGATGAATGGTTATCACTCATCTGTTCACTTGTTCCCTTTTCATTCCTCACCAACACATACACATTATGGTAATCAATTTTCATTCATCTGAAAGACAGTCAGTGGATATAAGATGTTCATAAACAACAACTAAATGAGGTTGTTTAAATAATTAATGCAATTTGTTTCCACTCACATGCATATATCATCAAGGTCATTCATTGTGCATGTTTTTATGACATCATATGTTTCTGAGATCTGTTGTAGGAATTTTAATAGTTCTAGGATATGGCAATTTAATATTAATGTATTGGCTGTGTAACATTACTGAAAGCAGAAGGCCATGAATAAGCATTTCATAGTGTTACCTTGCAGTGCTGTAGAGCCTCGATTATCCATTGTGATTCTGCAAAATTTATCACAGAAAATAAAATATTTATACTTGATTCAACACGTAATATACTGCTGAAACAGACTGTAATGTACAGCATTATAATTATAAAGTGACCATTAAAAACATAAATATATTTCTTTCAGTTGCATAATGTGGATTGGTTTTGTAGTTTATTCATAATTTATTTTTCACTTACCTCATCACAGAGGTCAGGCTTTGTTCAGATCTTTATATTGTAATAATATCAGACTTAAATCTTGGATGGAATTCAAAATCTGTTTTCAGTTCTCATGAATGACAGAATGATTGTGAATTGGAAAGTATATGGAGATTGCCATTGCCTATTTTAAGGTTCTATATCAACATTTGGATAGAAGCATTGATAAAAGCCATGAAAAACCTCAGAATAGCTGGTATTTGGCCGGAGATTCAAATCTGGGACTTCCTGAATGTGAAGGAGGAATTCAAACAGTTCAACCACGACATTTTGTACACATTCTTAGAAGCACTATTACCTATTTTGTTCTCAGACATGAGCCATTTGCTTACTAATTGGAAATTATTTAAGATTTGTTGATGATTTCTGTGTTGTGAACATGAGATTTGAGGGAAATTTTAGAAGACTGCATGACTTCTACCATTAGTGGTAAACAGTGATATTGATTATAGTTGCAGAATCCTTTATTTACTTTTAATATTTAATTTACTTAGCTAAATAAGAAGAGCTCTCAGAATTCAATAGCATACAGACATAAAACACCCTCACAATGTTTGTTCAGCTAGGGCTCACATCAAAACATTTTAAAGAATTCTGCCATGATATCAATTTTTTAAGATAAAAGCAAAATTTTCTTTGTGCTTAAGCACCACATCTAGAAGGTATGTGGGAGAATGGAAGTGAAGATCCACACAGTAATTAACTTCAGCACTGGAAGGAAGTTAGTGGTCACTTTTATGCTTCGGCTGTTTTGCCCTTGGGGAAATAGCACCCAGTACCACACAACAGGAGCCAGGGTGAGACCAAGAACAATATAATTTTTTATGGATTCAAATTACTCATTCCAGTATTTGGTATTGTGGTTGGTTTTCTTTAGGAAGAATAGGTAAATATATTTAAACTGTTTCCTGAATCATATATTATCAAATAATTTTCTAGAGGTTTTACCTCAATTCATCAAATCATTTTGCTTGACTCCCTATATCCCTCTCTTTTGAATATGACAGCACTATTATTTTTAAAGTGTCAACACTGATGTAATTACAGGTAATGCTTGGATACTTTCCCTGTGCTTTTCATCCTTTCTTTTTTCCTTTCTCATGTAAGATTAAAGCTTTTAAGATCCTCAATGTTGATCAAAGCTTCTTCCCTGTCCTTTATTTAACTTGTTTCCTTCCTATTCATTTAGATCCTGACAGTTGGTCAGTTCTCCCTTTAGCAGCTGCTTGTTCCCAGCAGCAACCCCATAGAGCTGCTTGCCCTTTCCCCTTTGGCTGATCGAAGCTCTACTGCAAACAGCCATCCAACCAATCGTGTTCTTCCTCCACATGTCAGAAGCTCATCCTAGTGAAGTCTTTGCAGGAAGAAACCTGAGAAATGAGCAGTGGTGCAGTGCCTCTCCTCCCTTGAAAAAAGGTCGGGCACATTTCTGGAAGCAAATATACGTACTTAACACTGTTTTTATTATTGTAATTAACTGGACACTGTTATACAAAAGGTTTCAAACCTACATGTGAAATTTAATTGCAAATAAAATCAACTCAGGTTGTATATAAGTACATGTTCTTCTATACATGAAAATTTCCTCATGTGATATTCTTATGAATACTGATATGGTTTTAGTAACAAATCTTTAAATATATTTATATAGTAGCTATCTCTAAATACAACTTAAAATTGAAAAGCAACTGTTAATAATGTGATTGTATATGCAATACAGTATATTAGTGTGTCTTATTCTTGGGAAAAGTTCATTAACTGTGTGGTATTCATATTCTCTGTATGTGATGCATACTTCTCACTCACCCCATCACAACAATAAAAACTTTTGATGTGGTAACAACCATATTTAATTTATCATGATCTACTGCACTATGTGTGGCAAAGTTGTACATTATGGACACAAGTCTTCACTATTTGTGCACTACACTGTAGTGGTGTTAGTGCTGTTCTTCATAATCAGTTGCATGATTGAAGTTAAAAATATGTATAAAGATACAGGACATGTACAAAATTTTCAGACACATTGTTGCAATATCAGTCCGTATAAAAGAATATCACAAAACAGAATATCCATGTATATAAAACTATATACTTAATATGTAACTTTTATAATCTCATGCATTATTATGGTAAAATATATATAACAACACAGAATATATATAAAATATAGAGACCATCCTGGCTGGTTACAGGAACTGGTGGCAGGCTCTTGTGAACATGGTAATGATCCTTCAGTTTCCGTAAAAGGCTCGAAATTTCTGAATGTATTATTAATATCTCTCAAGAAGGACTTAGTTCTGTAGAGTTAGTCAATTATTGTTTATTGTTACAGACATTTAATACTATTTAGTGACATGACATATTGGTAGTTATATATCATTATATTGAAAGACACAAAATATTCTGCCCAACCCACTGAGTTGAATCCCTCAACTTGACATATTACTAACAAACTTAATAGATTTTTCATACCGTATTTTATGTCTTATGATATTGCATACCGGGTTGATATTTTCATGGATTTTTTTGGGGGGTGGGGGGGTTAAATTCCTTACTGAACAAGAACACTGTCCAGTTATTGATATGTAAATGTTATCGTTTTTGTATATAAATACTTACTCTTGGCCTTAAAATATATTTAACACTTAGTAGTTCAATTGTACTTTCA